GAGAAACCTACAGAAGGACAAACATCACTGCAACACTCAATCTGGGCTATATGCCGGTGTGGCCAGACCCAATCTTTTCCCCAGTGAAGACACATGAAAACACACCTGGAATTTGCCAAAAAGCACCTAAAGGCCCCTCACACTGTGAGAAACAAATTCTCTGGTCTGATGAACATCAATTTCAAGCATCGTGTTCAAAGGAAACCAGGCACTTCTCATCACGTGCAGAGTACCATTCCAAAAGTAAAGTGTGGTGATAACAGCCTTGTGGGGTTGTTTTTCAGTGGCAGGGACTGAAGGACTCGTCAGAGTAGAAGAAAAGCTCAATGCACCAAAATATTAAGATAGCCTTAATGAAAACCCAGTCCCGAGCATTCGAACCTCAGACTGGGCAGAAGGTTCACCTTCCAACAGGACAACGACCCTAAGCACACAGCAAGAGTGGCTTATATCCAACTCTGTGAATGTCCTTGAGTGGCCCAGCCGCAGCCTGGGATTGAACCCAATCAAATATTTCTGGAGAAACCTGAAAATGTGCATCTGCCCCCATCCAAGCTGACAGAGATTGAAAGGTGAAGAGGCGAGGAGAAGAATGGCAGATAATTGCCAAATGCAGATGTGCAAAGCTTGTCGCATCATAGCCAAAAAGACTTGAGGCTGTAAAGGTGCTTCAGCCAAGTACTGAGTTTAACATAAGTCTTTGGAGGGGTATAAATGAAGGAGTATGAATACTTTCGCAAGGCACTATATATAATAGTCCATATGGATCATGCAAGATTTTACAAGTTACTTACTCAATCACCCCATCCACTGTAATTCTTAAAGCTCATTTCTGCAACTTTCAAAATTACAAATTTGTTTTAGCAGACACAATAACCAATATTAAACTTTCTTTTCTACATTATATTATATTGTATAAACTTCAATTTTCTGACTCTCGCCGGCAGCATTTTAGCTAATTGTCTAAATTGTCTCTTATGTAACATTATAAGTAAACCCCAAGGAACATATTAAAATATTTTTAAAATCCATGTCATGACCTCTTTAATGTAAAGTGTGGTAGCCCAAGCACAGATTAATAACTTTCAACTTCACAACAACAAGAAAATAATTCAGCTCTGGTTTCTGATTCTACCACAGCATGTGAAAAACAGTCTAAATCATTAACATTCAATTTTAAATTCACCAGTATAATAAATTTATCAACTAGGAAACATGCAACATGAACATTAACATATGTCCTTTATTCTCACTGGAGTGACAGTGGCTATTTGCACCATTGCATTTTTGAACTTAAGGATGTTTATATCGTTTTTTTTTTTTACTTTCGGGAAAAAAATGTTTTAGATATTGTTGGTATTTATCTCTGTTAAATGAATTAGTAAACTGAGTAGATTGGGTAGCGTGAACATTCTGTGAGCGGTTTATGCTGTCACAGAGCGCACGCGAAGACCGCAGCAAGTTGATGTTTGAACTGGATCGTCGACGGTTCTGGAGCTAGGCCTACTTCACGTTCCACATCTGTATTTACATCTGCAGCTGCTGGTGAGTCAATGATCAACTCTTCACTTATCTAACGTTTTTATATTGCGTTAATAGTTTCACTTCCATAGTCATTTTAGCCGTTAATGGTGCTTTCCATATTAACCGAATTAGAGCCAAATCACGTTTATTATTGTTATGTAGATTTGTTTCCATGACACCCGAAGAGGCAAAGCCAGACCATTAACTACTGCTTTTTGTACCTTTTAATAAACATTTTCAGATCACTTCACCTTTCTAAAACTTTTTGTTGCTTGTGACTGCTTCAGTTGAAATATATACGTTGTGATTTTGCAGTATGATGATACAGACTCAGCATCTGGCCATTAACATTCAGTGTTTTTATTTACCAAGTTGCACATTTTCATTGTTTTCTGTTGGAAATGTTGCTGCAGAGTCAGTGATGTGCTGCTGAAAAGTGATTCAATCACCGCTAAAGATTACGTTGAGCAATTACTTTCGTCAGAGAGCAGGAAAGTGTTGTAGGAGAAAAATATTTCAGTCACTACAGCAGTGGTTTACAATCCTGAGAGAGCCTCATGAACTGAACTGTGTCAGATAAGAGAGACATACAAAAGGATTGAACCAGAACTGAAAACCACTGCAGTAAAGGATGGAAAAATACTACAATCAAGAGTATATGTAAGAGTAACACAGGGATGTGTTTTATAGTACAGTGTGTACAGGTATGTAACCTCAATAGCCATTTAAATTAAACCTGAAAGGATGCCAGACCACCATTTTCATCTACAACAGTGCTTTGCAAACCTGTCCTGGAGCCCCCCACCACTACTTATTTTGTTTGTCTCTCTCAACTTACACTCCTGATTCAGCTCATTTGTAGACATTGTAAATTCTGAATTGAGTTTGTCCGATAACAGAGACACACATAATGTGCAGGTGCGGGGGTCAGCAGGACAAAATTTGGCAAGCACTGATCTATAGTTTAGTATAAGGCCATTAGTCATATTAGAGGCTTGAGGTTCATCCCTGAGGTACCTGACTTGGCCATGACTTCTGAGATACCTGTAGTGGCCGTTGCTTCCTGAGGTCCCTTTAAGGGCTGTTGCTCACTTAAGACGCTGTCAAGGCCATTGCCTCCCTGAGGTCCCTGTCTTAGCCAACCCTCCCTGAGGACCCTGTGACGGCCAGTGCCGCTTAAGGTCTCCACTGTTATGGCCAAAGCTCCCTGAGGTCCCTGTCACAGGCTCAGTGCTTGAGGTTCCTTTCAATATCGCTGTCCAAATATGCCTACTTCCCTACTATATAACAGGCAAAAAGCAGTATGAGAAATTAGTAATATGTTTGTATTCATAGCATTCATAAAACAAAAAGTACACAAATGACCTACTACCACTGACGAGATTCTGTGCAGTGAATGGCAGTGAAGCGACGTAACCCACGCTGTTGGTCACATAACAGTACATGTAGTACGTCCAGATTGCATTCATACTATACACATTTATATTTTATGGCTGATTTCAGAGACATGAGCTCCATGCGATCAGCGGGTGCTCAGTGCTCATGTTTCCCAATGAGAGCAGCCACAACTCGGCTAGTCCTTCTGACATTTGCCACTGGCTCTTATGTCTCTGTAGTGGTTAAACATAAGATATATTTCATTTTGGGTATATCTAACAGGTAAACTTTGGTCTGTATTCTATTAATCTATTAATATGTTAAAATGAAAATGAAAAGAGGCAATACTGTTTGATATAATATTTTGTTTCATTGTAATGTATGCATGTTCCCTGAATTACACTTCTGCGGCTATTAATGTTTAAATGAAAATGAAAAGAGGCACTGGTGTCTCTGTTATCATATTTCGTCTTATTGTAAATACAGTGAGGAAAATTGCAGTAGCCAAGGCGAGCTGACTGACGTTATCAAGTACGCTGCTGTTCCATTTGCAGAATTACCAGACTTGTGTCGTCCTGTCTTGTAGCTGGTGTGTGGTGAGTGCACTGGCGCCGTTGTTCTGTGGCTGCCATCGCATCATCCAAATGGTTGTAGACTGAAGGTAAGGGTTGTAGAATACAGGTAAGAGTTGTAGAGTACAGGTAAGTCCTGTGAAACACAGGTAAGAGTTTAAAGTACAGGTAAGAGTTTTAGACTAAAGGTAAGGGTTGCAGAGTACAGGTAAGTCCTGTGAAATACAGGTAAGATTTGTAGAGTACTGGGGCCCGTTCTTCGTACGTCGCTAACTCAGTTAGCTGGATTTGATTGTTGACGATTTGGCATGATCTTGGATTGTTTGGTTCTTCGAAGCTCATCCCGGAAATGCTGTCATAGCAACAGGTCCGTAAGCTTAAACCTGCTCGGGAGCAGGCTTATTTCATGTAAACATGATTAGATTGCATCTTTTTAAGCAGAATTGATACTTAAAATCTGTCCCAGCCACAGCTACTTTATTATAAGAGTATCCTACTGATCCAGGGACAATAATTTAAAATAATAGTCATTTAAAAATTAATTAAAAGATAATATAATAATGTTGTGTAGTCTTTAATACTATAGACACAGCCAGTTTTACTTACTGAAAGATTTATTCATTATAAAATAATTACTTCATAATTGTATTAGAGTCGTGCATTAATTTGAGTGATGACAGATATTATGGGAGTGGCTTGATGGAGAGCAGGAGATGCAGATAACTTGATCTTGACCCTTAAGAAACTTTTAATTAATGCTGTCACGTAACAAATCTGTTCAAATATAAAATTAAATGAATTGCTAATTAATACATTGAAATAAAAATGTAAAGCCTGTACAAATATTAGAAATCATGAATATAATTGGGAATCATGTAAAACATTTAATAAAAACAGTGCACATTTCATTTATCTATTATAACATTTATGTAGTTTTGTTCGCTTGGCTGTTTCCTTATAAAAGACCAGAAATTTGTCAAGTTTTTCGTCAGGTGTCTTTTTTAATTATATGATGTCATTACGTTGCTGTCTTGCCGCCAGCCAATCGCTGCACTGCTGATCGTGGTTTCGAGTATCGATACATTCCCTTTTAAATCAACCCATGAACGCGCAATTATCTCAAATAATTCAATCCAGCCAAACTAATCATCAATGACAGGTGCGTTCGGAGAACCGAATTAGCCAGATCCTTATTAGCGCGATTATATCATCTTGGATGTGACATTTAATCTCGGATGTAATAAGCGACGTCCGAAGAACGGGCCCCAGGTAAGAGTTGTAGACTTAAGGTAAGGGTTGTAGAGTACAGGTAAGTCATTTCAAATACAGGTAAGAGTTGTAGACTAAAGGTAAGGGTTGTGAAATACAGGTTAGAGTTGTAGAATACAGGTAAATCCTGTCAAATACAGGTAAGCGTTGTAGAATACATGTAAATCCTGTCAAATACAAGTAAAAGTGGTAAAGTAGAGGTAAGAGTTGTTGAGTACAAGTGGCTAGGGCTGCACGATTAATCGAATGCGATTGCCACACACATTTTGTCAGTAAAGCCGGTTCTGTAATCAGCAGTAAATCTCCATCACCTGCTTTCAGATGGAGCAGCATTTACTAAACAGAGCCGTAGTTCACTGACAAGTTACGCAAAAAAATTGCAGACTATATTATTGCGCGATTATGAAATCAAAGAAATCCTTCGCGATAATGACAGCTGTTTGCGTAGCTTCTCAGTGACTACGGCTCTGTGTAGTAAATGTTGCTCCATCTGAAAGCACATGAAAATACACATTTAATAACATGTTTTTACTCCAGACTCGCTTCATAACGACAGTCGAGTGTTTGAAATAAATCCTTCTGTGAGATGATGTGGCTTCTTACACAGAATAATACACACAACATTTCATAGTATTCTAAGCAGTAAAGACATTGCATTATAAATATAATTTATTATAATAAGAACTTGGATAAACCATATATTGCCGTAGTTGTGTGTATTAGTCGCGTTGAATCAATAAAAGCAGTTAAATCTTCTGTTTATACAGCTACCGCTATAGGGATTTCCTGGGTTTCTTCTACTAGGCGTATTTAACAGGGTTGCCAGGTTTTCACAAAACCTGCCCAATTGCTACTCAAAACTAGCCCAATCACGTTTCGAGGGGGATCCCCCGGTAAAAATCGGATTCCGGTGAGGTAAAATACACATTTTTGGTGGGGTTCCCCTGGTAAAATTGGCATTTTAGGGAATTGAATATCACGGTTATTGGGGTCGCTTAAACCCGCGGACATGAAAAACAACCTGTGGCAACAGTGTTAAAGTAGCCCAATTCCACAGGAAAACTGCGGACTTGGCAACACTGCCGTATTTGGACTTTCCTCACGAGAGCGCCCTCTGGTCCTCGGATGGAGATTTACTACTGATCACAGAACCGTGATTCACTGAAAGATACGCATGACAATCGCAGCTTCTGTCTAATCACGATTTCCATTTCGATTTATCGTGCAGTCCTACAAGTGGCCTCAATAGCCATTTTAAAATTGGGCGGTTATTTTGTTAATTATGATGTAGCCATAAATATAATAAATGAAAGAGGCAGTATTTTTATATATGTGCCGGCCAGGGGAGGATAGGTCCCCCCCAGCTGAGTCTTGTTTCTTCCTACATTTTTTTTTTTAGTTTGCAGTGGCAAGTTTTTCCTTGCCACTGTCACCTTTGGCTTGCTCACTGGGGGATCTAAGGCACTGTAATACAACCTTGAGGTTTTTGTCACTATTAATGTCTTTGAGGAGCCTCTGTTAAGGCCAATGCCCTCCTCATAACAGACGATACTTATTCCAATCTACAGTAACACAGCAAAAGAAATCATATTTTATGTGTGTTGTGAACGCAGTCTAAACTGTACTGAGCTAAAAGACTACTATGAAGTAATGGCAAGAAATCGCATCTTTATTGTTGCGGTAGTCATAGTTTCGTTCTTGAGCAAAGTAGATCCAGTTATTAAATCGTTCAAAAGAAAAACTCTTGAACCAGGAGTTACCAGTTTAGAACGTTCGATAAATCCTTAATCGACTACTTCATTCACAACTACCAGATTCACAAGCAAATGACTCTTATGACTCTACTACTTTATAGTGATTTAAAAACATACAGATCAATCGGCATGGTCCGAATCACATGCAAATGGCTCTTATGATTTGGTTATTTTTAATGAAATATATATATATATATATATATATAAACAAAAATAGTCTGAATCCCTCACTTAATGACGTTAAAGCACAATAACTTAAATAACTCAGTAACATAACATATACAGCACGAGCAGTGTCTGATTCACAAGCAAACGACTTTCATGATCTGGTTATTTTAATGACCACAATGATCCACAGACTAAGAGCCTCATCATCGCAGTACAGGACCAGCTCCAGTCTATAGCCGTGATCCCAGTCCACCACAGCCCCATATACATTATCATATTATAGAAATAAAACAAACAATTGAAAATGTAAAAATATTTTTTAATAAAGAGTGGTTCTTCCACAATACACAAGTCTCCACTGTTATTTCCATCTTTTAAGGTTTGGTAAGAATGCAGAGATGTGCTCATATTGTGTTATCACTGTAATTCACACTGTAACAATGTCAGTTTCACACTGCATTACTAACTTGAGTTTATTCTGATTGAATTTTCATGCCATTTATGTTGTTACAAGTTCCAGCTATCAGTAAATGGGGGAAAAAAAATATATATCTAATTTATGATTTATTTTAACTTTAATCTTAAATTGAAACAATAAGCTGACTGTAATTGCAGTCTCCTATTCATGCTGGGCTTAGACTCTTTAAGAACGGGCTCTCCCTCATTGTGCACATGAACTAGGAACACGAGCGTTATGTTAATGTGATGTGTCATGTTTGTGACAAGCTGTTAATAAATATTGCATTCACATGTGGCTGTTGCTGTGTTAATTTATGGTACATATAATAGATACAGTATATTGATTCTTCTAATAATCATCTCATGATTTAAGGTTATTTTATTATTTTTTTTAAATCACGCACCAGTGTGTGTGTGTATGATTACACAGACTGTTTTTTTTTTTTTTCCGTTGAGATGCTAATGTTTAATTTAAAAAAAGACTGCACATACACACAACAAATCATTTCACAAATGTAATTTTGTTTTAAATGATAAAATGACATACTGCATCAATCATAGTTAATGTGATGAACTACAGCTGTTTGTTGCTCAGCTAGGAAATCTGTGAGAAGAAATGAGTTCATACATTCACTAAAAATCACAGCGACATTTGATTACAAGTCATTGATCTAGTTTTGGAAGAAAACGGCTAGCAAAAAGTTTCTGCATGACAAATAATGTCCATACGTCTCTCTAGAACAGGTTTGAGTGGGGAATATGGGTGTGGAGAATCACAGCCCAGTAGCTGACGTGTAGATGATTCCCAATCCCGGCCGATCTCCAGCCTGCTGCACACACACGGATACTGTCTGTCTGTCCGGCCGGCCCAGTCCACGGCCCTCTTCACTGCCTCCCAGTACATCGGTCTGAATGGAGAAAAGCAGATAGTCATGGATACAAAAACACAAGAGTCAATCACTACACCGCATGAGGACGTGTGCTGGTACCTGGGCTCCTGGGACTCTTTTAGTCGGAGGAGAGACTCGAGCAGCTGTCCCACTTCCAGCTTCTTCACCCGGATCAGCTGCAGCACCAGCAGAGTCGCCATCAGCCTCAGAATTTCAGCATGAGCCTTCACACCTGACACACAAAACATGTGACTGATTAACTGATTCTGACTCACAAACTGTTTGAAAAATAAAGATCAGATTATTTTAAGCTATATTCAGATTTAGCCTGATGCATATTGCACTTTAAACTGGAAAGCACTCTCATTCTAGCAAGATCTACTATGATTGGCTGGTGTTACACAGTAAAGACGCACCTGTGTTTTTCTCAGTCTGTCTAAATGGCACATGAACAAACTGTGATTGGTTGCTTTATGTGCCAATCAGATGGCTCGTCCTGTCTAAATGGGCAGTTCTTGCTGAGAATAAGCTGCAATATGGACAAGACCAACAACAGGCATGTAAAAAATCCTGTTACCTAAGGAACAGATGCCTTTCTCTTGAAGGAAGACATTTGCAAAAAAGTCTACGTCCAGGTTAAGGAAGCTGCTCAGTCTGTCAGTGCACTCCCAGTATCCATCCTATATCAAAACATATTGCATATGTTCATATTGCCTTACACATTTACATACTGTATAAAATCTAGTGAATTAAATCCTGTGTAAACACCTCATGCTGAAGCTCAAACAGCTCATTCCAGGCCACTTTGTCTCGTCTGCTTATTGGTTTTTCCACTTTTTGGAGGAGTAGTTGTTTCCGTTCCTTTCGCTGTGCTCCAGGGGCTGAGGAACCAAAACGCTTATTCTTGCTTCTGAAGGAACCACCAAAGCCACCAGATGCAGTGGGAGAGGGTGGTGCAGACACTGCAGGTGGAGCAAAGGCAAAGGAGCCACCAGCCCTGCTCCTCCCGTGAAAAGATGCGCCCACCCTGCGAGAAATAGCAGGAGGGGGAGCGGGGCTTGGAGTCATGGACATGAACTGCTGAGATGCAAGACGAGGAGGATGAGGAGGATCATCACAGACAGGAGGAGTTGAGGCATAAAGCTCAGTGGCAAACTCTGTGGCAGAGGAAATGATTGGACTCGTGGGGCAAAATATTGGAGACATTTTTGTAAGGGAATCAAGGCTGTCTTCTATGAAATCAACTGATTCAAAACTAAGATCAGAGGAAGGAGGCTCATATGAGGGACACCCTTTGATCAAGAGGCCAGTTCTAGACATCATGGATTTAGCAGAAGGAGGTAAAATCCGGCGAATATTGGAGAGAGATTCCACTGAGGGAGGAGGAGGCATACAGGTGGTAACCTGGGAGGCAGCTGGAGGGGGAAGCCTGCCACTCATGGAGGCACCACCACGTGGATGAGGAGGAGCCATACAGGCGGTAACCTGGTAGGCAGCTGGAGGGGGAAGCCTGTCACTCATGGAGGCACCACCACGTGAATGAGGATGAGGAGGAGGCATACAGGCGGTAACCAGGTAGGCAGCTGGAGGGGGAAGCCTGTCACTCATGGAGGCACCACGATTAGGAGGAGGAAACCTGCTAGCCTTGCAGAGAACTTCCACTGGTATTTCATATCGACGAGCGGCTTCAGGCCTGGGAGCAGACGATTTTTTCAGATAGCCTCTGAAAGCATTAGTGCTACCTTCAAAACGTGAAGGATGCCAGGAGCTACTGGAGCTAGGAGGAGGAGAAGAGCGAGCTGCAGATGTTTTTTTTCTAAACTTATTTTCATATTCATCCCCTAAATCATCATCAAAATCGGCTGCTACACAAGCAGAATCCAGGAGATCTTCAGATGTGGAGCTACTGCGCCATCCCTCTGATTCCGTCTGAAAAAAAGAAATGAAAATCATTGTTGTGAATACTAGAAGCTGAATGATGTCAACATTTATCACTACATGATATAACAGCTTTAATAGACCCTTTTGTTGTTACCCATACATCATCATCTTTAGCACTACTAATATGC